TAAGTGCTCTTCATAATAGTGAAACTTGAGAATTGGTCTCGTTACCATCTGGGAAATCTGTTGTTGGTTGCAGGTGGGTGTTTGCTATCAAAGTTGGACCTGATGGCACTATTGATCGCCTCAAAGCTCGTCTTGTAGCCAAAGGTTATACTCAAATTTTTGGGTTGGATTATGGAGATACCTTTTCCCCTGTGGCAAAGATGACTTCTGTTCGTTTATTTATCGCCATGGCCGCTTTTCAACAATGGCCTCTTTATCAACTAGATGTTAAAAATGCTTTCCTCAATGGTGATTTGCAAGAAGAAATCTATATGGAGCAACCTCCTGGGTTTGTTGCTCAGGGGGAGTCTTCTGGGATGGTATGTCGTCTTCGCAAATCCCTATATGGCCTAAAACAGTCTCCTAGGGCCTGGTTTGGAAAGTTTAGCAAGGTTGTTCAACATTTTGGTATGACTCTGTGTGAAGCAGATCACTCGTCTTTTATCGACACTCAAGTGCTTGGATGTGTTTACTTGATAGTATATGTCGATGACATCGTTCTTACAGTAGTGACAACCATGACATCTCTCAGTTGAAACAACATCTCTGTCACCATTTTCGGACCAAAGATCTTGGCAAACTTAGATATTTCTTGGGTATTGAGGTGGCACAGTCCAATGATGGTATTGTTATATCTCGCAGGAAGTATGCCATGAATATTTTAGAGGAAACTGGGTTGATGAATTCAAAGTCTCGTTGATACGCCCATGGATCCCAATACTAAACTTTTACCAAATCAGGGAGAGCTTATACCCGATCCCGAGCAAGTATAGAAGATTGGTTGGAAAATTGAATTATCTTACAGCTACTCGTCCCGACATTTCCTTTGCAGATCGGTGTGGTAAGCCAATTTCTTAATTCCCCATGTGAAGATCATTGGAATGCAGTCATTCGTATCTTAAAGTATATTAAAGGATCTCTTGGAAAATGATTGTTATATGATTCTAATAACCATACAAGAGTTGTTTGTTACTCGGATGTCGATTAGGCAGGATCTCCTTCTGATAGAAGATCTACATCCGGATATTGTGTCTCCATTGGTGGTAACTTGGTCTCATGGAAAAGTAAGAAACAAAGTGTTGTGGCAAGATCTAGTGCAGAAGCAGAATATAGAGCTATGGCCTCAGCTGCTTGTGAACTTGTTTGGCTCAAGCAATTGCTTAGAGAGTTACAATTTGGAGATGTCACTCAAATGTCACTTGTGTGTGACAATCGTGCTGCTATTCATATTAGTTCTAATCCCGTCTTTCATGAAAGGACCAAACACATTGAGATTGACTCGTCATTTCATTCGAGAAAAGATTATGTCCGGAGACATCAAGACCGAGTTTGTTAACTCAAGTGATCAGCTAGCAGATATTTTTACTAAATCTTTACTGGGTCCTAGAATTGATTATATTTGTAACAAGCTTGGCACATACGATTTGTATGCTCTAGCTTGAGGGGGAGTGTTAGATATTGTTAAGATATTGTTAGATATTAACCATAATATCAAACAATAATATCTAACAATATCTTCTGTTTATTCTGTTACTTTCAGTTACTCTTTTAGTTGTATCTCTCTACTATAAATAGACTACCCTATGTGTGATTTATACACAAGGGAGATTAATCCCAAACTCTATTTCTTCTATATTCAACAGTCCTTGGACTTTGTTCAGTGCTCACAGGCATCGACGCACTCAAAGTTGTCGATATTATAGGCATATTTCCATTATGAACTTGCCCCCCAGTGTTTGGTGGATTTGGACTATTCGAAATCTCATTGTTATTCTGACTATTCGGTGGATTTTGACTCATTCTTACTACTCGTCCACTCCTTAATCTCATACACTTTCGAACTGGCCAATTTTTGTGTGTTTTTGACACAATGACGTCCCCTACCTGGCGCGCCAATTTGTTTCTGGTGGAAATTTGATTGATTTCGATTTCTCGGAGACTTTGGTTCTAACCAAATTTCAACCACGTAGATTCTTTTTTCTTAAGCTAGTAAACGGTTTTCAATCGAAATATGTATGAGAATCGAAAATCCTATAGTATCAAAAAATGCTAACAACGCAACCTAGTGTGCAGATTGACAATCGAAAGTATTATTTTTGGTATTTTGTATTAAGAAACTCAAAGTAAAGAAAACAGTAAAAAGTATCGAATCGAAAAAGCAGCACAGAATATTAAATTGCAGAGAAATGTAAAATGCGAAAACCTCAAATTGCATTAAATATAAACGACAAGGAATTAAAATTGCAGGAAAATAAATAACAGGAAATCGAAATTGCAGAAAAGTAAATTGCGAAGAACTTAAACACAGACTCTTAACTTACTTAAAGGTAACATGACAAGGAATCGAAAGTACAGAAACTTAAATTGGTGAATGTAAATTGCATGAATGTAAATTACCAGGGAAAATAAAGAAAGCGATAAAGACAATCAACGATAATGGAAATCCAGAACATTAGAAACTTCATGATGCATCGTTCTTCTGTAGATTTTTCACTAACGTTTATGTTCTCCCTGCCAATTCTCCCCTTTTCTTTCCTTCACTCTTCGCTCTATTTATAGAGCATCCTTCAGGTAACCTCCTAAGAGCAGTTAACGAAAACTGCTACCATGTTCTACGTGCACGTCCCTCGAAGTTTTACTTTAGTTCTACGGTTTTAGAAAACTGTTTCCACGTTACATACGTGTTTAACCGTTCCTCAATTTATAACTTAGTCATAATTTTGATAGTCATGTAGGTTAACCTTTTCCTCGATCTCAATTTCAATTCTCGAGAACTTTGAATTGCTTTTGATTTCCCTTAACCTTAACATTACACTTGATTCTAATTTCTCGATTTTCTTCAACAATAGACATCAACTATTCTTCATTTGATTCTCGATTCTAATTCTCGATTTATGTGTTCATACTGTCACGTGGTCATCGAATGTCTTCCAACCATCTTTTCGATTTATCAATTTTTTAACTAATCATATGATCATCGATTTTTCTTTACTCCATTTTTCGATCCTTATATCGATTTTTTCACTAACAAATTTATATATAAATTATTTTATTTTAAATTTTATATTATTTTTTCTCTTAAAGTTGTTTGAATAAATTCATCCAAAATCTTCGTCAAATTTTATTTTATTTTTTAATTAAAAATGTTATTTGGTCCGTCTTTATTTTACAAAATGAAACAATTTTTTTATATCATATTAAAAAAAAACAACAGTAAGTATATATATATATATAAATTATATATATTATATTTTTATTATATAATACATATATGATATTTTATATTTCATATTTTCAAATAAAAATATTTTATAAAATAATTATTAATTTTATTAAATTATTTAATATAATATTTAAATATTCCTTTTAAAAATAATTTGTGAATAGTTCTAATTTTAAAAATCTAACAGACTTTGTGAAAAAAAAAACAATATATTAGTAATGAATTATAAATCTCTTAATATATATTTTTCAATGACAAGTTTTTCATTTTAAACTTTATTTTAATAATTTTTTTTCAAATTCGAAAAAAATATAAGGACACAAAATTGACTTATATATTTAAAATCTCACTAGGATTCTGGTAGATAGATTTAAAATTGATTTGTGCATATCTAATGTTCAGTAATAATAGAAAATGTTACATTCATACTAAATTAACCCCTTTACTCTTATCTAAGAACTAAAATATACTGCATCTTTTTTCAAAATAGTAATTCCTCGTTGTGAATTACAATCTGAGATGTTATAAGAGTTGAAAAAACATAGTCTAATACGAACTCTCAAAATTTGACAAAGAATATGAACAATTTATCAATTTAACATATTTTAGTTTTAGGAGTGATCTTTCCCTCCCTCAAAAACAAGCCGCTGCCGATCTGTCACCCAACCTACTCAAAAATCGAAAGGCTTGACCCCGTCCCGTTTGCAGAATGACCCTTATTCTACATATATATATATATATATATATATATATATATATATATATATATATATATATATATATATATATATATATATATATATAATTTATTTAATCTTATTAGCCTGTTTTTAAATAGGGTTTACTAATATTCTAATAATTCTCTTTTATATATTTATATAAAATTAATAAAAACCATAACATGTTTAGATCAGATTAAAAAAATTTACAAACTCAATTTCGTTATACTTATTTTCTATTATAAAATAAATTAACTAGTTTCAATTTTAAATTAGTTTGGTAAATAAATGTTGTGTTTTAAATTAATAATCCATTTCAAATTCATTTAATGTTTTAAAATTATGTATACATGATCACTCAATAATAAAATTATTATTATTATTTTGATAAAATAAAATTATTTTCTCCGTAAAAATATATGATATTTTATAAAAGAGTATCAAATAAACTTAAAAATTATTTATATATTTTAAAATTAAAAAATTTCAATATTTTTATTAGAAGAATAAATAAAATTTTTAAAATTATATAAAATTAGTTATTTTGATATTTAAATTCTTACTAATATCAATATATAGAATATTAATTTACACAGGGATCATTTTTTTCTTTTCTGGTAAATATTTAGTTCAAATTATTAGAAAAAACATATTATGTTCTTTAATATTATAATAAATTAAAAAATAAAAATATTTAGTTTTTGGTACAACAAACAATTTAAGTTAATTAGTTATTAAACACAAATTATATTTTTTAAACTTAATCAAAAGTACAAAATAATGATTAATAAGCCTCAAAAGTAATTTCTGAATTTCAAACATGGCCTAATGCTCTTTCATTGCATCCAACACAGTAGTACTATATCTGACTTTCTCTCTCCAAAATTAGCTCCTAGCCAAACCCTAACAAGTTCCGAACTGGGAACCAGATAGAAGCATTGAGATTCATTCAATCACCTTAACTTAAATGCGTGTTGCTACGCATTGCGTCGAAGAAACTTCGATCTTCGTTATCATCGATGGATGCGTGGAACGAAGATTTTGCGGAGCTGGAGATTGGGAGCTCCACGGAATCGTTCCAAAAGTTTTTGCTTTCGCAGAGAGACCTCTTCCACAATCAGATCGACCAGTTTCAGGAAATCGTCGTCACGCAATGCAAACTCACCGGAGTCAATCCTCTCTCTCAAGAAATGGTGCACGCTCATTTTCACCTGTCTTTGTTGTTTTTTTTTTTTTTTTTTTAGCTTTGTCTATAATTTCATTATTTAGTTTTGGTTAATGGAAAAAAATGAGAACCTATTAGTTGCGATTGGTTTTCAGATTCATGTTGTTGTACATGGAATCATTTGAACTGTTTAAGTGTTTGTAGAATTATTTGTAAACACATTCCAGTTATAATTTTGCCCTTGTATGTAGCAAGTGCTTTTTAAGCCATTGTCATTTGAGTGTCTGATTCTGTTCACATTTTGTTTTTTATTTTTTGGTGCAGGCGGCTGGTGCTTTGTCAATAAAAATTGGTAGCTTTTTTGCTGGAACATGATTTATTTTTGTGCAGGTCTTATACAATTCTGCTACTTGCTTACTATTGGATGTCTCTAACTTAATCCAAATTTGCAGGGAAAAGACCTAGGGATTTATTGAATCCAAAGGCTGTAAATTACATGCAATCAATTTTTTCGATTAAAGATTCTATTAGCAAGAAAGAGTTGCGTGAGATCAGTGCTTTGTTTGGTGTCACTGCGACGCAGGTTTATATCACTCTTCATCCTGTTGAGTCATTTCTATCCACAGTTCTTATGGAATGATCTATGTAATTGAGATATTGTATGGAGATATATTTTCGATTCAGTACCTTTCTTGTTACTCATCTGTTTGTAGTTTGCCATCCTTTCCAAGATGTCATTAGATCATTACCTGTTATCATTTTGTGGCAGCAGATGGTTGAATTCATTTTGAATTTTGTATTAAGATGACATGTTACTTAGTTCCTGTTTTGCGTTAATTTATGAATCCTTGTATGTTGGGTTTAGGTGCGGGATTTTTTCACTGGTCAGCGTTCAAGAGTGAGGAGACTAGTGCAGTTTTCAAAGGAGAGGGCATTAAGTTCTAATTCTTGTGAGGGACCTCATGATGATCAAATAATTTCTGATCCTGTGAGACCAATAAATCCAGCTTCCCTAAACTCTACTGCCCCGTCCAATGCTGAAGAAGCGTCTTGTTCAACACAGGATGCAGCCTTGTCTGACCTAGATGACTCAGATAAACATTTTGTTGATAATATTTTTAGTTTAATGCAAAAAGAGGAGACATTTTCTGGGCAGGAGAAATTGATGGAGTGGATATTGACGATACAGAATTTTTCAGTATTGTTGTGGTACACAATTGGCTTTCTCAATAGCATGATAATATTGAATTATAGTACTTTATATTCTCTGATTTAGTTTTTCTGCTGTATCCTTGTAGGTTTTTGAGCAGAGGGGGTGGAATAACTTTAGCTACTTGGTTGAGTAAGGCAGCTGTTGAAGAGCAAACCAGTGTCCTTCTTCTTATCTTGAAGGTAAATATGAATCCTCTGGTTGTTATTCTGCATTGCTTTTGATTAGTATTGAACTTTCTGGTTATCTGTTTTACAGGTTCTTTGTCATTTGCCTTTACATAAAGCCATTCCCATGCACATATCAGCTATATTGCAGAGTGTAAATAAACTACGGTTCTACAGGACATCAGGTGTGCTTTATATTTTTCTGGCCCAGTGACCATAAAAAATGACATGATCTGTTCCCAATACTCCCCCTTGGTTACCTTTACTTTTGGTGTCTATTGATATAATCCTTAGGTTTACTGGGATAGCATGTTTTGTTGATGACTGCAACAGACTATGATAGCAGCCTAGGATATTTTCTAGCCGCAGAATTCGCCTTAACACATGGTTACCTTGTTTGGTTATGGCTGTTAAAATAGGTTAACTTATCTTCTGTCTATCTCGGGAAAGCTAGAAAGCTGTTTTTGTAGTACCTACCTGTCACTAGGTGTAGTTTTTTCATATCTTCTCTTTGTATCTCTGATGTAAGTACTCTTCTATATGAATACATTAATTAGCTGAGAGATGAATTAATCTCTTAGGCATTCTTTATCAGATTTTCACTCTCAAGTGTGGCAACTATTCTTATGATGACATGGCTGATTCCAAGTTGTCAAATGTACCTGCTTCATTGTGTTTGTGTACATATTGTGGGATGCTGATTAGGTGACCTGTTTTTGGGATTTTATCTTCATTTCAAGCATGAATTACAGGTTTTCATACATTAGTTGTTTTGGTTTGCTATTAATGATATTTGAAGGAGCAAGATAGAGAAGAGGAGGGGGGTTGACAATTGAACCTAATTCTTCCCTTAATTGTTATCAGAGAGTCAAATAATAGATAAGATGTACCTTAACATGATTCTGAGCTGCAGAAGTCATGTTCTAGTGGACTGATGTGATACTTCATCCTTTTCAATGTTTTGTTTGATGGCTGTTATTAGTGACAAATCTTAATTTTGTAGGGGTGCTGTTTGATGTCACCTATTTTAGTAAATTGATAGATTTGATTTATAATCTCACTGATTTGTGGATCAGACATATCAAACAGAGCAAGGGTTTTGTTGTCAAAGTGGAGCAAATTATTAGCGAGGAACCAAGTAATAAAGAAGCCCAATGGTGTCAAGCCTTCTAATGATGGTCATAAAGCGTTGATGCTTTCTCAGAGGCAAGCTTGCATTCTCTTTTCGATGCACAATTTTGATGAGACCTCCTTTCTCAATTATTATGAATTTTATTTCTGCAGTGTTGGTCAATTTATGGGCTCTGAATCATGGCATTCAAATATTGATGTTCCCGTAAGTGTTTTCTTATATATGTTTCAGTTAGCAATGCTTTTTCAGTTTGCATATTTCTTAGTTGGTCCTTTCTTGCTCTCAGGAAGACTTTCTCACTCTCTCAAGTGAAAGTTCGGACAATTTCAGGTATGTGTAGGTTGTGGTTGATTTCTTCCACTCATCTGTTATCATTCATTTGAATAAATCTTTCCCCCAATAGTTTTTGTGCCATACCTGTTTGTTAATTGGCTTTGCTTTTGCTAGCTGTGAAAATGCTCCATGTTGTTTCTTCTCTGTTCAGGAAAGTAGGATCTCCACAATCGGTGAAATTGTTGCCTCCTAGCTTGGATGATTCTAATAAAAAGTCCACACTTGGTGTATCTTCATCTCGTATCCTTGTATATTTGATACTAGCTGACTAAATAATACAATTGGAATTAATCCCCAATTTGTTCCTCAAAAGAGATTTATCAAATTGACTTGTATCTATTTGGTCCTAAAATAATATCTTAGATCATTGAATGATTTCAATTTGGTCCAAGTAAACTGTAACTTTTGGACTATTTTGATGTCAAAATATTATCTTTGCAGATATTGGTGTGTCATGGTGTTTCAAGGATCAAAGTGGTGGGTTACTTGAAATAAATGCTAGCAACACATTATCCAACTTAGTTCTTTTAATACAAAAACATTATTATTGGCTTGAGGTTTATTTAATGATGTGGTCCCTACTTCCTATTTACTGTGATTCTCAATAAATTTTACTCAAGATTTCCTATGGTTCATGGTAGTTGTTGAGTCATGGATAGTGTAGGCTATATATCTCTTTTCTATTCCTTAACCCCCAATCAGAATCTAGAGAGCGCAGAAAAGTGCAATTGGTGGAACAGCCAGGCCAAAAGTCAATGAGTAGAAGCTCACAAGTGACGAGAGCAGGGCCTGTAAGTCAAGGCCGTCCCATGTCCGCTGATGATATCCAGAAAGCAAAAATGCGTGCTTTATTTATGCAGAATAAGTATGGGAAATCCGGTTCCAAGGAAAGTAAAGAAACAAAGATTGATGGTCTGAATAAAAAACCTCAGACAACTACTGCCAGTATTGCAGCTTGCTCTTCTAAAGTTCCTACTCCTCCCAAAATTGAAGAAAACAAGAAACCTCTGTTACTTGCCTCTAAAACCAGTAATAGGCTTTCAAAACCGAAAATGGATGTGAAGGAACCTCTCTGGGAGAAGTGCAAGAGGGTTCAGATTCCATGGAAAACACCAGCAGGTACATTTGCAATTCTTTTGTTGGTTTCATCAAATATATTGAATTTATGTCTATAGTATTAGGATAGAATATTGGTGAAACTATGACAGCCGACAAATGAATGAAACACACATTGGAAAATACCATATTAACAGGTTTGCTGACGTTGAGTTAAAACGAGGTATATCTTAGTCAATTCCCTGCACATTTTCTTGGAAGGCAATTTCAGACGAATCATTGCTACATGACGCAAACTCTATTACCTTATATCCTTTTGTAGTTTTTTCACCTTATATATAAATAAGTAGAGCAAGAGTCGTGGTCTAACCTTATGTTCTGTACGTTGAGCAGTTGTATACACGCCTACAATTTCGGTATTGTTCAAGAGATTAATAAAACATGTTGTACAAATGTACAACTTGAATTTTTTAGATTCAAATACTAACAAGGATTTGTTTCAGGATTTAGGATTTTCCTCTATCTCTAAAATTTCAGATAATGTTTCTAAATGATTTCCCCGGTACGTCTTATCTGCACAATTGTGCTAAAATGGCGTGATACTACTCCTAAATCTCTTATAAAAATGGGCTTAAAAATATATCGTTTGAGGACTTGATAAGTGTCTGTCACGAGCTATACTATAAATATTGAGGTGATCGCAGGTATAAAGGATCAGTTTTCCAAATTGGCAATAACATGTAGATCATTATTACAATATTTTTAAAAGTAATAATTTTATGTCCGAATTACTTGGAATAAATGTGCCTTTACATCTTTGCCCTGGTTCATGGGAATACAACTTAATACATTGATGGATTGGTTTAAGCGTGACCTGGTATTAATCCATGTGACATTTTTGCTATAATGAGAAAGGCAACAGGGAATTTCAGTGTTTCACTAGGATCAATTCATGATACTGAGATATTGATGTATATTAATAATGCGGTACATCGGCCCAAACGATAAAACGAAATAAAAGAACTACCCTAAAATACAACCGGGGTTCCAAGACCCCATATGTCAGCATTAGGCATCTCTGAGAAGGCATTAGACTTTCAAAGTTAATTTTATCTACTCTATCCCGCCATACATGATAGTTATTAATATCTTCCTCATTAATTAATAAAAATAGGCTAAAGCTTTAATTATGAGATTATAAAAGAAGCTCTTTTACATGTTATTCCACGTCTCGGTTATATATGTTGCATTTTGGGTAGCGATATTCTTTTATAATTTGCAATATGATCACATACCTGGTTGAAGCATTTTTGTAATTCATATCTATGGGGCGAATGAGTTTGTAATTTTACTTATGGCGTCTTCTTTGCATATGTACCAAGTAGCGTAGGTTATGGTTGTAGTTGCAACTTTTAAGTCTCGAATATATATAAACTGCAATCTGACATGATATGAATTACACAACTGAATTAATTCAATCTGAGGGTTGATTGGCGTCTGTAACTTTGATTTTGTTAGCTGCGACATCCAGGGACTGTAAACAGCAATGATTGCCCATTTTCGTTTGGTGAAATTCTATGCTACGTTCTGGTGTATTTATCACTCAACCCCCAATCCTTGAAACATGAATGGTTTCGTGATCGTTGTATTAGAACGAATATGACTATCTACATTCTCTTTCATTCCTATTCGAATTGTCATGGAACAAATTTCAATTACCCCCTTTTCTACATCGTTCATTAGTTTGTAAATCTTGTAATATATAAATTAAATTGAGAAATGATGTGACGGGGGCAGGTCGTGGATTATTTTCTAGTTATCAACATTAGAAAACACGCCCTGATTCTTGAAATCTTTCGGTCTCTACTCTTTTTGGCTGTGGTGCTGATAGAATGTTGCAGACATGAAATTGGATGTTCGCATAAAATTTACACTGCCGATGCATTTTGAGGTAGTACTAGGAGTGAATATGCGATCTAAACTGTTTTTCTGTCGTTTTTGTGGTTCTTGTAACTCGTTGTAAGCAACATTTTTCTTAAATTTCTTAGACACATTTTTCTTAGGTTTTAAAATCTCTCCTTTTTGGTTCCTTTTCCTTTTTTGCAGAAGTGCAACTTAAAGATACCTGGAGAGTTGGTGACGGTGAAAATAGCAAAGAGATTGATGTCCAGAGAAACAGAAACCGCAGGGAAAAGGAAACTATATACCAGACTGTCCAAGAAATGCCACCTAATCCCAAGGAGCCTTGGGACCTTGAAATGGACTATGATGACACTTTGACGTTGGAAATTCCAATTGAACAGTTACCAGATGGTGATGGTGCAGATATAGCAGATTCCCCCAATCAGGTAGCAACTCATACTGTTCAAGGGGTGGCCTCCACTTCTTCAACAAGTATGACTCCTGCTGAGCCTGATTTAGAATTGCTTGCCGTACTGCTAAAAAATCCAGAGTTGGTATTTGCCTTAACTTCTGGACAAGCCGGTAGCATACCGAGTGAAGAAACAGTGAAGCTGCTTGACATGATCAAGAGAGGAGGTGCGAACTTGGGTTTAAGTGAAAATACAAATGGGAGTTATGGCACGAGTGTAAAAGCCCCGGAGAAGGTGGAAGTTTCTCTCCCATCTCCAACCCCTTTAAGCGATCCAAGAACGGTGCGTGATTTGAGTTCATACTACCACTATTTGTCAAAGATCTTATCATCATGCTTGATGTCTCCTATTACAGTGCCATGCACACCTCACTTTAGCCATGTTGGCTTATGCGTGTTGAGTGGAGAGCGTCTAATACTTATTATAATAGCATAGGGTGCTGGGGGAAATGGATTTTCAATGGTGGCCCAATTTGAGATAAATGAATTGATTTCTAATTTAATCTTGTGCTTTTTGTTTGACAAGATTTTGCGCGGTCATGTTCTTTCGTGCCACGTAATAAATATTCTATACTAGAAAACACCTAATTTAGGCCAACAGTGGGCTTGATAGGGTTCCCTACTTCCCTTGGAGTAGTTGTACTGCCATTTAGAGTGGCCAATTGTTTGATGCTTGTCCCTCTATTTACGGTGTTAAGACACTTGGCCTTACCAAATATGGCATGAAACACCCCTCAATATTTATTTACATTTTTCAACGTGATAAAAAAATTTGAAATCATAATATTGTCATCAATTATAAACAAAATACTGGTTTCTACATTAACTGATGTGTTCCCATTTTATTAACTTTTCAGAGTGGATGGAGCTCAGAAGCATCCAAAAACCCCTTTTCACGGCGAGGTGTAGCACCTGATAGGATTATCCAGAACCATTCTGCAGTGGCAACTACCAACTTATTATCTCAGATTCCCGTAACTAGCACCACTACAGCAAGGCAACAGCCAACAGCTGTCGTTTCATCTTCGAGGCATTTCATAAGCACAGCAGTTACTCCATTTGCACTGCATCAGGCATCTAATATTAATCCTGAAAAGCAACCTTCAGTGAGGCATGTACAAATACCATCCTCAAACGTAGGTTTAACCATGAAGAAGAACTTAATCACTGCCAATGCATCTTCAGTTAACTTTTCTGGCACTCATTCAACTCTAGCAATGCGGGGTGATGGCACCAATTATGTAAAACCCGTACAGAATTTGAGTGTACAACATGAGGGTGTGGCTAATTCCTTCCCACAGTCATCCTTCAAGTTACCCTCACCAACGCCGTCAAATTCAGTCACACAGCAACAAAGACATCATCAACATGTGGTCCTCGAAGCCCATTACACTGAACCTCCTCATCGTAACCCTAGCCGTTCATACCCACCCCAAATCGAAAAATCAGATCATGGGTCTGAAAACATGTGGAGAGTTAGGCAAGATGTGTCATCCAGTTATCATTCTCAAAGAAATCATAACCATAATACAATGGTTGGGGGATCCAGGCAATCTGGCTTATGTGATAGAAATATTCAGGGTAGGGAAGATTTTGAATCATGGAGTCCCGAGAATAGTCCAACCAGAAATCCTAGGTGTGTACCAGGTAGAAACTACCCAGAGTCCAGAATAAATCAAGGAAGAGGTCATAGACCTGAATGGTCAAGGCAGAGGGGCTCTTCTGGACACTGGGACCCTGGCAAGCAGGGAAACAGAAATTGGCAAGATCAGAGACGATAAGTTTGGTGCTCAGATTGATTTGGGATTTTATCTGACTCATTAATTTTCCGGATGTATAGAGTTGGATTGGATTCTGATAGCAATATATTCTTGTTATTGGAGAGTGGAGATGGATCTAAACAACATCATCATCGGCGTGGGATGATTGTAGGAAAAGAATGTTATTACATCTAGAGTGTAACGACTCATGAGTTTGACTTAACTGTAAAAAAGAATACTATAAAATTAAAATTTATCCACAAAAGATTGATTCTGCCTCATTCCTTTTTAAAAATATTAGGCTTAGTTAAAGGTCAATTTGGATTAAAAATCGTTGAATTTTTTGAAAATTTACCAAGAAATAAAACTACGTAGTACTATTGGAACCGGCCAAGCATGGAGAACGTACAGGAGGTATAGAATTATTATGATCTATAAATAAAAAAGTTGATGTAATGAACATACTTTTCACTATTAGTTAAAATTAATCAAATTAAATAATTGTGAGTAGAATTTGTTAATTAAGAAATGAAAAAATTTATTTTTTAATAAAATTTCAGTTAAAGTAAAAATTGAAATGATTTTAATTCAAAATTTTCTTTAAAATTACTCTTAATTTCTGACCATAGTCAATATAATATCATAAAATCCGTTTTTCTCTTCACACCGCTTCACTCTATAATTCTCGTTCATTCTCGTTTTTTTTTTTCTCGAGTCTGTATAGAGCACAGACACCTTGTTTTAAATTTACAAAACACCCACCTATTAACTTACGTAAAACTTGCAGAATGCTAATTTAAAAATATTTAGTGGAGCATATGATGGCACAAATTGAGTGCACAAATAACGTTTCTTTTTACACTTCTAGTGGAATAGGTAGCAAGAGATGACGACCGATCAAGGCTTAAGGAATGCAAAGATTATTTTAGAAAATAGCACAAAATGGTATAATTTTCTGTGCCCATTATTATCATGTTTTCAAAGACGAATGATGAATTTATTTTTTTTAGATCTAAGAACGTCGCATATTTCTTCCTGTCCAATAGATGTTTTAAGCATCATTGATCCTGGTGGATATATGTTGAGGGGATTGCTTATGAGGTGACTAACCTCTCCTCTTCAAACCTTCTGCCCGTATATCCGTGGAATTAAATACGTGGGAATCAATCCATTTCCGGTAACCGGAAAAAGTTGATCAAGAGTGAAGACGAACACGGAGATGGATAATTTAATCTCTCCTTCACTTTTGTCTTATTCCAATTTTATATTAAAATTTAAATTTTAAAATATTAATATTTTTAAAATATTTTTTTATTACATATAATAAATTTTTTATATTTTATCATTATTACTTTTCTTCTATCTATTTTTTAATTCTTTTATCTTTTTTAATCTTGTATATAAATTATTTCATTATTATTAATTTTTCTCTTACTTTTCACTTTTTCATATTTTTTTAATTAATTTATTTTTTTCAATCTTTTTAACCAATTCGATGGATACAAAGTCAATTTTTTTTATTCTTTATTTTTAATTTCTCTAAATATTTTACATAAATATTAGTAGTAATCAATATTATTTTATTTACAATTTATCTTTATTAGATTTTATTATATCATATTTTTTAGATTTTATTATTCTTATTTATCATATTATAAGAACTAACTTATTAAATATTTTTTTATAAACTATATATTTTATATTTTTAAATGATAACTTAAAAAAGTAATATATATATATATATATATATATATATATATATAATATCAAATGTTTGAATACAGTATTATAATAATAATATTATTATAACTATTCAAATATTTGAATATAATATTATAATAACAATATTATAAATATTTTACAAGAAAAAATAATTAAATATTTTTTTTACATATATATTTTAATATAAATATAGTAAAATAAAATATATATTTAATTAATAATAATTACAAATTATAAATATTTATTTATGTACAAAAAAGACATAAAAATAATAAAATTAATTTATTATAAATATAATTATTTTTAAAAAAATAATGTAGATCGGGACGAGAAATCTAAAATTTAATAAAAATAGGAATCGATACTTAATTTCTAATCCTAATGAGATCGAGGATGGGAATCGGGAGGCAAAATCCACCAGCCCTAGCCCTTTGTCATGCATACATCTGTCTCTCAAAATTATAATTCAATCAAAAGATTATATCAAGTTAAAATGTTGTAGGCTACGGATGACAATTAAACCCGTACCCTTGGAGACCAGACCGTCCCTGTCCCCGAGTTTGACGGGAAAACCCGAGTTGACCGGATGTGGGGACAGGTTTGAGTTTTCCCTGCTTTAAAAAGTCGGGGACGGGGATGGATAATGCAATCTTCACCCCGACCCCGATCTCGTCACCGCCCCGACTTTATATTTAAATTTAAATTTTAAAATATTAATATTTTAAAAGTATTTCTTTTTCTTTTTCTATTACATATAAGATCATTTTTTTTATATTTCACCAATTTTTATTTTTCTTCTACCCACTTTTTAATTTTTTTCTTTTTTAATCTTTTATATCAATTAATTTATTATATTATTCTCTCTTACCTTTCAGTTTTTCACATTTCCTTAATCTCTCCCATCAAATTTTTTTTTCAATCTTTTCAACCAATTTGATGAACACAAAGTTAATTTTTTTATTCTTTATCTTTTTTCTAAATATTTTACATAAATCTTAGTAGTAACTAATATTATTTTACTTATATTTATTAGGTTTTATTATGTCATGTTTTTTTATCTTATTATTCTTATTTATCATATATCAAATTTTATCTTAATAAAATAATTGTATTTTAAATGATTAAAAGAATTGATAATTTAAACTTTTATTACTTCGAACTAATTGAATAAGAATTAACTTATTAAATATTTCTTTATAAACTATATATTTTATATTTTTAAATGAAAACTTAAAAATGAATTAACTTTTATATATATATATATATATATATATATATATATATAATCAAATGTTTGAATACAATATTATAATAATAATGTTATAAATATCCAAATATTTGAATACAATATTATAATAATAATAATATTATAAATAAAAAATGATTAAATATTTCTTTTACATATATATTTTAATATAAATATAATAAATGAAAATGTATATTTAATTAATAATAATTATAAATTATAAATATTTATTTATATATAAAAACTAGATAATAAAATTAATTTATTATAAATATAATTATCTTTTTTGAAAATAATATAGATCAGGGACGAGACAGAACCCGAAATCTAGTGAAGATGGGAAAGAATACTTAATTTCTAACTCCAGAAATCTAGTGAAGATGGGAAAGAATACTTAATTTCTAACTCCGAGATCGGAGGCTGAGGCGGGAACGAGATGGTTAAAAAAGTCGAGAGATGGAGATCGGGGAGGCAAAACACGACCCCACCCCCATTGCCATGCCATCATATAGGAACCATAGAAATATTATTGGTTTATGTAATTTTGTGGTTTTAATAAACTTTAAAGTATTGTTGTCACTCATCTTCCCATGGCCTCGTGGTTATTACAAATGGAATGATTCATGACTTTGAAAATAAATTCTCGCCAATTAAGGAGGTAATCGTAAGGATTTTATAACATAAAATCATTCATTAAGGTCTTAGATAGTAACATTTGATGGAACTTAATTCTTTTTTTTATTAAGAACCGGAGGTCTTAAGAAAGTAACATTTTTTAAATTTTTTATGGAACTTCGTTTTTATTTATTAAGAACCGAAGGTCTTAATAGAGTAACATTTTTATGGAACTTAGTTCTTACTGAAAACTCTATTTTTCTTTTTTCTCTTTCATTGTATTTCCGAATTATAGATAATAAAATAAGATTACAAGATTGAAAATAAAAAAGTATATTAAAAAAACAATTTGTAAAATGCTAAAAAATGCTTTGGTTTTGACACAATTATAAGATCCATCTTTTTTTTTTTATCCCGTGCATTTGTCTCTAAGTTATATTGTTTTCCATCAATGGGTTCTAAGAAGGAGGGATAAAAACCTGAAATAAAGCTTATTGATTTGATTGAAGGGAACTAATACTCTTTTTTAGCTTAGCTAGCGTTCCGCTAGTCATTTAGTCAGTTCATAACAATCTCTGTACAAAGGGCAAAGCTTCTACGACAGCTCCCCCCTAGTCGCTTCTGGCGAAGCTGCGAGTTCATGAGCAAGTGAATTGAACGAACCAAGTTCCTAAACTAAAAAAAAAAGGGAGTAAGAAATAGAAAAAAAATCAACAATAAACTTCCCACTTTGGATGTCCCACGATTCTGCTAGTTTAGAAACTAAGGGGAAGGACAGGGGTCGCTAGGCAGAAAAGCTATAACTAAAAGTTCTCCACAAATAATATTGAAAAAAACAAATACTTCACAGGTCGTTTTGTAATTAAATAAGTATTTCATTCTCAAAACATTATTTTAAAACTAAATAATACTAAATTTATAACTGTTTTATGTTTCTTAAATTTAATAATAAATACTTTTTCTTTTTAAAATATTTTTCAGTAATCGTTTATTATAATTCTGTAATATTAAAACATTTCTTATTTCAATATTTGATTCTATTTTGTTAAGTAGGAGATGGAATGACAAAATTTAATGTTAGTCCTAATGATAAACTAAAAGATGCAATGCGGAAAAATGTGAATAGCAAAATAATACTTCATTGCGGGCAGAATGGTTAAACCAAAGATCAGATAATTGTAGTCTGATTGTTTAAAGTCGACAGTTATGAATTCGGAAGATGATATCATCACATCAATGGCTCTTTCCATTCTACTGCAAATTATTTTTTTTCTTTACCTTTTCATTGGATTTGAAAAATTCAAGAATGCAATTCTATAAATTCTAGAACCAAACAAACAATGAAAAATCCAAGAATGCAATTCTATAAATTCTAGCACCAAACAAATAATGAAAGAAAAAAACTGAGAAAATAGTTAAAGGCTCAGTAGGATCCATTGGTAGTTTTGTAATCACGAGTTCCGCTCGCTCATAAAATAGGTAGATTTCAACATCATAGCCTTCGAATCGAAAACACAATAAACAAGAGAATAGTTAGATACCGACGCAAATACGCAAAGCATTGAAGCCACTCACCAAGAGTTCTACCCGAGGCCAGAAAGAAGCGCAGAGGAAAATGTGGATGCTGAGTTTAAATAGGGGGAGTGGTCTACTTAGGGTTAGGGTTTGTGGGCGAAACGATAATTGTTTTCGTCCAATGACGAAACTACCCTTCATTCTTGTAAGTGTGGGCCTTTCCGAGGATGGTCTGAGCCTTCTTTTGTAGGTTGGTAAAAGCGTTAAGCCCATTAATTGAATTGTTTTCAGGATAAAAAAAAAGGATATATATGATAATACATAAAAAAAAAAAAATGAAAATAAAATACTCGCCGCTGCCGGGGATCGAAACCGGGTCACCCGCGTGACAGACGGGAAAACTCACCACTATACTACAACGACTTGATGATTGTAATTTAAAAAATATTAAATTTTTATATTATATAAATAATCCGAAGTAAATATGTAAACTGTATTTGTATGTTACTTTTCTAGAACAACTATTTTGAGCATATATAATTTGATGGACTTTATTTCATTACTCTATTTTTGAATTATTAAAATTTATTTTTTCTGTAATGTATTTTAAAAAATAAGTTTATATTATTTTCAAGTGGTTTTTCATAATAAATAATTTTAAGTAAGATTAAAAATAATTTTTTTGGCACTTTATTTGATTAGATAGCAAATGCAACCTGTCATGAAATGATTAGTCTATGGTTAAATTTGTAATCTATTTGATTTATGATTTAGCACGTCACAACTTTTTACTGAGTGAATGAACAAATCTATTTTACAGTAATTATGATATAAAATTATATATTAAATATTTTAATTTATTAACAATATATGTGACAAATTTAATTTATATATTGTATACTCTTACATACATATTTTATTTTAAAAAATTCAATTAATACAATTTAACTGCTAAGATACTATAACAACTAGTCTGAGTTTTATAATATTGATATAAATTTTGAATATTATTATAATAAATTTAAAAAATAATTTATAATCATTTAATAAGAAATTTAATTCAATATCATTTAATTTCACTAATTTCATATTTAAGTTTTTTTCTAAAGTACCCCATATTAAAATTTGATATTATAAACAAGTAAAAATGATCGAAAATATTATCATTTTTAAGCGAATGATGTGTATGTCTCTCCTATGTTTTTCTAGAAAAACCTAAGTGAAGCAAATTCTAATTGTTTAGGGTTTAATGTTGTTAACTTTTAATGATTATAATTGTTTAATTTCTATATATAGTAGTAGAAGGATAAAACGAAAATGAAGAGTAATTTTTTTTTTATTGGAAAAAATGCATATGACATCCTTTAACTTGATTTGACATGCATATTTCTTTTTAAACCATGGAAATATAACGTAAAAATGCTGGTTATATTTTTAAGAGCTTATTTCTAAACAAACAAATATGACATTTCCAAACGATTTTTATTTGGTTTTATTTTTCATTTTCATGAACATATATACTTCAGTTAGAGAGACAAGTTGAGTCAATTTATGAGCTTGAAATTAACTTTAATTCAAAAGGTAAACGCAGCATTGAAATTAGCTACATTGTCTGTTTCAATTCCAGTTCTAACCATTAACCGTTCTGACCAATTCTGTATAATTAGAATCATACAGGCTTCCCAATTTCTGGTGAATATATGCGCTCAAACATCCCACATGGGTTCCTCCATAGCTGAATCCTCGTGTGGAAAATGGTGATGAAAATGATTCATAACTCTTGAAGTTGAACTACCAATGCCCAAAAAGTCATGAACAGTTGTCATGTCGCTCCCTCCAAACCTTGATGGCTGCATTTGGTTTCCTTCAACCATGTCTCTTCCGTGGATTAAACTCGAAGTATTACTAACCTCTTGTTCCACATTCTTCATCAATCCAGGGTTGTGGTCGCTCCCAAGTGGCATTTGGCTGAACATTCCCACATCATTGATTGTAGACCCGGCAGTGTTGGTGTCAAAAACTTGTGAAATTTCTTGTCCTTTATGAAACAATTGATTGATGAATGCTCCTCCACCACTCACCCCAGCCATGTTGGACAGATCAGGCTGTGGAGAGAAGTGGTCATAGGAGTTGTTATGCTGCAGCATGGCACCAGAATATGGTGGCCTAGTGGAAGAAACGTGATCAGGAGCAGAAGTGCTACTAACAAAGCCTTTTTGCAATATGGGGGAGTTAATGTTATTGCTTGCAGTGGCACCCATTTGGGCTGCTTTCTGTAACAAAGCTGTTGCAGACATCTGGGCTGAGGCAGCAATTAGTCCTCCGTTCTTGTTGTCTTGCAAGTAATTGAAACTTGATGAGGTGTTGGAACCTAGCTGGAGGCTGGAAGAGGAGGGAGGCATGCTTTTTGGGCCACCAAAAAGTGCACCTGCATTGGTGGAGAACATGCCCCCTCCCATGCTCATAGACTTGAATGGTATTGGGACAAGTTCTTGGGGGAGTGATTTTAGTGGGTTCTTAGGGTCATACGCTGTGTTGGGACTAGTGTTTAGAGGCATGGTAGACATAAGATCAGGTATTTGACTTTGCAGGTTTGGTGGCATGCCACTTGTTAATCCCTGGTTCACTCTGTTGTTTTCTTCAGTTAATGCGTCACAGAAGGCTCTGTGGGTGATAAAACTATCTCTCCTGCACCATTCAGAGAAATGGCTTCACATGTAAGATATTTTAATAGTTTCAACTACTCAGTTATCTGATCAAGGAGAAAACCTACATAATATGCTTTTTTTTTAGTTGTTTTTATATTCTTATCAGAATTAGAGTTAAGAATCTTTGATATAATGTTTTATAAGGTTATATATGTGTTTTAGGTTGATCTTTAAACAAATCTGTTATATACACAGATTATTAAATATTTAAAATAGAAAACAAATTGAATATAAGGTAGCAGTTATAAATTAAAGATGGAAGAAGTGTATACGGATCCATAAATTTTTAAATAATTTTGTCATGTATGCAAAGTTCACGTAAGAAAAAAGCCTGTACCTGGAAAATATGGTTCCACAGTCACATTTGTATTCCCTGGTGCCACAAGTTTTCTGGTGGGCCTTCCAATCAGATTGCACTGCATATCTCTTAGAGCACTTGTCACATTTCCATTTCTTTTCACCGTGTTTGCGGCTATAATGCTTTTTTATGCCAGTGAGGTCTCCTAATGCACGAGCTGGGTTATGGTGGACGCATGATGGCTCAGGGCACACATACACCCGTTTCTTCACCTCAGTGCTTGTCCGTTGCCTCAGTTTCCACGGAAGATTGTGACCTCTACGGTGCAACTGAAGGTTTTGGTCCCTTTGAAACCCTTTGTTGCAGATCTCACACACGAATCTATTTGTTGCCATTAATGTGGTTGGTGATAAAGCAACTACTTCAGCACTGGGGTCTATTTCATAAAATACATCCATTAGCAGAACTTTGGCAAACAATATAATAACATGCTATTGCTAGCCATCACTAGCGGATTTGTCCCTCTTTTGAAAACTAAGAAAGACTGTGCAGATAAACCATTTAACAAACAGTAAGAGTATGCATAGAAGTCGAATCAGGAAATTTTGTTCATTTTTCATATTGCTTTCTTTTTAACTTCAGCTACTGTTGTTTAAGATTAATCTATGACCACTTTTAAACTCAAGATCCTGTCTGTCTTTGCTAATATTTGTTATCACTAGTTGACTACCTTTCTAAAGTTCTACCAAACTAGAGTTCAATGTTGAAGCTAGCATAGGAGCCTAAAATTTGACCAGTAGAGAAACTATACATCATTATCCTTAACTCAAAGCAAAAATTCAACTCATCAAATATGAAATCTTGATTTGTTAGGTTGCAATTAGAGTCAGAAAAAAAGAAGTTGGGGTAGTTGAATATTTGCCTGGGGTTCCAGGAAGGTTTCTTTTCTTCTTGCTGGTTTGTTGATTAGTGGAAGCATTGCTATTGCAAGCAGCGGATGGTCCTGAACCAGAGTCATGAAGTTGGTTTTGTAGCTGTTGGTGTTGGCTTTCTTGATGAACTTCTTCCCCATTGTTTCCTGAGGAGAAGCTTCCTTCATCACCTGAAATATTTGACATTGGAAAAGGAGACTGTAAGAGGTAAATAGAAGCTTCTGTGTGTCTTCTCTGATCTTTGTATTTTGTGTTATAGGTGATGGACCTCACTAAAAGCTGGGGCTTGTTTTCTGGTGTATCCAAACAAGAATCCACACTCTCACCCCCTAGAGGAAGACAAAAGCTGAGAGTTTTTGGTTTCTGTTGAGGACTTAGAAAGCAATTACTGCCATGATACCAATATTGGAAGCTGGTCTTCTTTGGCCTTATATAATTATATATAATGCTCATGTGAAGACAACTATGTAAATTCCCCTAGCTTCTTGGTATTATTGTAATATCCTAAACACCAATTCATTTTCATATTGTCCATTTATTTTTTATATACTTATTCATCTGCAAAATTTTAACATTTGTGTCTTGAAACCACATAACTTTCTCTTCTTATTTTTCAAGGAATGGTTTCAGGAGTTCAAAATGAAGTTTAGCTTGTTAATATATCTGTATCCCAAACAACCATACTATGGGCTGGTAAATTTCAGAATTGTAATTAATCATCTTCAAAAGAAAATTTATAAAGTAATTAATTAATAATTACACTGTTTTCTATAATTCATTTGAATATCTATAATACT